TCTTGTATTGTCCTAAAAATTCTTCCTATATTTGGAATGAACTGAAATGTAATTTCTTTGAATCTATAGAATTTGCAATCAGTTTTTATTACTCTGTGCTAATGGTTTTATCTGCACTGGGGCTCTGATGGATCCCCAGCGCCCCCCTCTGGCCTGGAAGAAACGGTGGGCATACTGGAAATTTTGCACATACTGTACCGTACTTACCAGTCACCATAAATCTACTGTGGTACTCCACTAGAGGGGCCAAACACCATGTTGTGTAGTATGGTTCCTATGCTCGGTGTCGGCATTAACTGGGAGGATTCAGTGTTGATTTGGTTTTGTCTAATGTTTCGCTTGTGTCATTGTTAAGCTGGTTAAATTACAATTGAAATTTGTTTTTCAGACAAAACAAAAACCAGTACATGCTGTTGGCAGCCTGCATCTGTTAATGCACATTTTGTTTTTCATTACAGGCTTTTGAACTCCAACTCTCTGGCGACTATAAGGGATGATGCGTTCTCAGGCCTTCCACATCTGGAGTACCTGTAGGTTTTGGCTGTAATTATTTTTATGAAGACATTCCATGAATTAATGTACAGTAATAACTAAATCCTTTGTCAATACACATTCAGTTTACCAGACGTAGCTGGATAAAAGGGCAGGCTTTAACATGACAAAGCTGCTGTAGACATGAGGTTATGTGGTTGGACTTCAGCTCCACATAATTTAGCCATAGATGTAAATGTGGCCACAGTTTCATTGCTCTCCTGTTTTATTATTATTTTTTTTTATAAAACTACACAAAGCTCACCAACATCATTTTCATAAAAGGTTTAAATGATTCTTTTTGAATAACAGTACAGCAGATCTTGATCACTTTCCTTGCTCATTGACAGAAACAGGTGCTGATTGTGTTTATATTATGTCTGACTACTTTTTTCATGTCCTATAAGAGACAATGTAACATTAGCTACTGTAAAGCAATATTATTTTTGTAAAAAAAAGAAGAAGTAATAATCCTAAGTGCATTTTCAGTTCTACACAGTGAGATCTGTGACTCCAAACTGAATCTTTTATCTTTCCCAGGTTCATTGAGGGTAATAAAATTGAGACTGCATCCAGATTTGCCTTCAAAACACTGAGGGACCTGACTCACCTGTATGCACCAAAGACTTAAATAAATATAAGATGTGTTTGCTGAAAGTGATTGTTATTGTTGAGCATCTGTGATTCTGAAGATGTAAAGATTCTGAAGAATAAATCAAATCAAATCAAATGTAATGCTAGTAGTAGCAGTTTTACTAGGATTAACGGTAACAGCGCTGAGCATTAATGGAGATACACAGAAGAATGGGACAAAGTCTTTCATGTTAATTGTCCAACATATTTGCTTGAAAAGAAATTGTGATTATCTGACACTGATGTCTTTTGCTGTATTGATTCTCTCCTGTTGCTTCTAGGTCTTTGGCAAACAACAACATTAAAGCCTTGCCCAGGGACCTGTTCAGTGACCTGGACTCACTGATTGAACTGTAAGTCTGTCACCCAGTCTGTCTTCTTCATGAACTGTGTCCCTGAGTCTCATGTATATGTTCTGCCTCTTCCTTTTATTCTTCTAAAGTGCTTCTAGCTTGTCATACAGTACGTCTCCTCAGCAGGGACCTGCGAGGCAATGCTTTTGAGTGTGACTGCCGTGCTAAGTGGCTGATGATGTGGTTGAAGAACACCAACGCCACAGTATCGGCAGTTGTGTGCGCTGGACCGGAGGACATGAAGGACAAGTGCCTCAGTGATATGACCAGCCTGCACAATGAGTGCATCTCAACAGATGAGAAATACCTGAGCCAGTTTTCCTGGCCTCCAGTCTAACTGGCAGAGGTGTTGTTTCTCCTTTTGTCCCTTAATGATGCTGGGTCCTTAAAAGAATGTGTTAGTTTGTGGAAAACTTGAATTTAGGGTGCCTCTTTCCACAGATTTCATCCTCCATCAGTCTGTGATGTCCGAGTCTCTGTCTGCTGACACGTTCAGTTATAAAAACGATGTTTATGTGGCTATTGCTGCTCCCAGTGCAGAGAGCTGTATGGTTTTCCAATGGGACCACATAGAGATGAACTTCAGGACCTATGATAACATCACAGGTATGACAAAGCCTTAACTGTCTCAGAGTACCCTGGCTGTGTTTTCCTCTCACGTTACCAGCCTGTTTATCTACTGTCCCCTGCCCTTCAGGTCAGTCCATTGTGGGGTGCAAGTCAGTTGTCATCCAGAGCCAGGTGTTTGTCATCGTGGCTCAGCTCTTTGGTGGTTCCCACATCTACAAGTTTGATGAGGACCAGAGCAGGTTCAGCAAGTTCCAGGACATTGAGGTGTCCAAGATCTCCAAGCCTAACGACACTGAGGCATTGCAGATCAGTTCTGACTGGTTCTTTGTGATCGCTGACAGTTCGAAGGCGGGCCTGTCCACCCTCTATAAATGGAACGATAAGGGCTTTTATTCATACCAGTTGCTGCATGAGTGGTACCGTGACACCGATGCAGAGTTCTTGGACTTGGATGGGAAGGTGCGTCTTATTTTGGTGAGCCGCTCGCAGGTGCCTGTCATCTACCAGTGGAGCCGGAGCAGCCAGAAGTTTGTCCTGCAGGGTTAGATCCCCAACATGGAGGATGTGGTAACTGTGAAGCACTTCTGGATCAAGGAGGAACTGTACCTGGCTATGACACGCTATATCGGAGACTCCAAAGTTCTACGCTGGGGTGCCAAACAGTTTGCAGAAATCCAGGCCTTGCCCTCACGAGGCTCCATGATTCTCCAGCCGTTCTCTTTCAAAGAACGTTCCTACCTGGCCCTGGGAAGCGACTACACCTTCTCACAGATCTACCTATGGGATGATGACAAGAAAGTCTTTGAGCACTTCAGAGGTGTACATCCAGGCGCCGCGCTCCTTCACTGTGGTTTCCACAGACTGCAGGGACTTCATCTTGGCCTCTCCTCAGACAGAAAGATACCATTTCACAATGACAAATGGGGGCAAGGTCAAGATGGTGGACATTTGTAAAATGAGGCTGGTATTCTCCTAAAACTCCAGCTGACACTTCTGAAGGTGGAGAGATCTCAAATACCATTTGATCTGCTTGGATGTACAGTGTATATTCTGGTTTAACATCCCTTACTTATGTTTTGTACTTAACAAAAGATGAACCAGGACCTGAGAGAATGATCATATTACTATTTTTGTTTTAGTCTCATTTGGGGCAACTGAAGATGTAACAGGCGTGGCGGCCACTTCCTTCATTTCCTCGTACCCTGTGGTGATGTACAGTATGTTGCCTTACCAGCACTGGGGTTCTGGGTTCTGGTGGACCCTCAGTGCCTCCCTCTGGCTGTGATGAGGTATCACACGCCTTTGATTTTTCCGTACAGGGAGCATTTTGAAAGCACAAACCTTTCAGTATCATGGCCGAGGTCCCGGTTCTTAGAGCGTAGATGTGTAGATGCTATGGATTCTACCGCGTAC